GGGAGGGGCGTGGTCTGGTGGGGGCGTGGGCGGAGGGGCGGGGCCGGCCTCTACGCCCCGCTTTCTGTGCTGCCTCCAGGCTGTTCCACGCGCAGAGACTGATCAACACCAACCTGCTCTTCGTGGTGGCGGAGAAGCCGCTGTGCAGCCAGTGTGAGGCCGGCCGCCTGCTGCAGAAGGAGACGCACTGTATCCTGCCCCCGCCGCGCCCCCCGCCCCCGTCCCCGCTCCCCGCGCGCCCCGCACCCCCCCCACGCCGCCTTGGCCGCCTCCTTGACTCCCCACCCATGCCCAGCGACGGCCCGGAGCAGTGCGAACTGGTGCAGAGACCGCGATACCGGAGAGGCCCGCACATCTGCTTCGACTACAACGCGACAGTGAGTAGGGGATGGTGGACTGGACACTCGCTCTCCTCCCCGGGGCTGCGCGGCCCTGCGCCCTGCGCCCTCCGCTGCCCCGGCTGCAGGCTGACCGGCTCCTTGTCCCTTCTGCAGGAAGATACCTCAGACTGCGGCCGCGGAGCCTCCTTCCCGCCGTCGCTGGGCGTCCTGGTCTCCCTGCAGCTGCTGCTCCTCCTGGGCCTGCCTCCCGGGCCGCAGGCTCATCAAGTCCATGCCCACACCTCGCGCCGCCTATGAGCAGCCCTCCTGGCTCCCCCCAGGCCTCCCGCATTCCCCGCTCCCCCTTAGATCCTCACCCCCTATCTCACTGAAGGACTGAACGCACCAGGCCCCCAGAGGCTTAGCCTTGGAGGGGGTGCGGGGTGCCCACAGGAGGGCGCTGCAGGTCTTTGGCGCCCAGGCACATCTGCTGCTGAACTGTCCGTGTCTCCAGACCCCCATTCCCGCTGGACTTACCCACCCCTGGGACAGGGAAGCCACAGTACTGGTGCCAAACCAGGCCCCACTGCCCACCCTGCCCCACGGAACTGCTCCAGCCTGGCCCTGCTACCCGACTTGGGACCAAATGTGGGTTCCCTGGGGACAGCGGAGCCCCGTGTGTCCCAGCTTCAGTCCTGGCAGGAGAGGTCCTGGGCCAGCACCCCCTGGGTCCTGCTCCTCTCGGGCCTCCATCCCCTTCCCCCTCCACCCAAGCCCGGCAGGTGTCAAGCAGTGACATAAAACTGGCTCAGACACACCCACACACACCTGGAGCCTGAGGGCAGGAACTGAACTCAGAGTAGACACATCCCGGAGGACACACACACACAGACACGCACACGGGGTGGGGGGGGCGGCTCACGAAGCCTTACAGAGGGGCAGGGTTGGCGGGAGGGCTGGCGTGCGCACACTCCTGCTCCTGCTCACTGCCCGCCTCTGACCTGACCTGCAGCCCAGCTGGTCCTCCATCTAAAGCTGAATGTCAAACAGTGCCAAATGCTGGGGCGGGGGGCAAAGGCCCCTCTGTCCCCCCCTAGCCGCCAGTGTCCCCTAAATGACCTCACCCCCCCTCCCAGGTGCTCATTGTAACCATTTATCACTAGTGTCAGGCCCCTGTGGGACCACATGCCACTGCCCGCACCCCCGGCAGAGGAACCCTCACCAGACAGCGCCCTTTGCCTTAGCAGGGTGACGTGATTGCTCCTGGCTGGGCCACCCCCCCCCAATCTGGCCCTTACACACTCAGGCCTGCGCCCACCTCCTCTCTCCTTCCCATTCACACACACTCCCTACCCCCAGGAGGCCGAACTGCTCCTCCCTGCTGAACACACACTTGCACACGCATACACACATAGACACACACTCTGTGCACACAAAGAGGCTGGGCCTGGGCACACTTCTTCACACCATTCATTCTGGTCATTTCCTCCAGAGGCATCCCAGCCTGGGGGCTGGGGGGGGACTGAGGGCAGGGATGTGGCCATGGGGCTCAGATGGACTGGGAGGAGGGGGGAGGGGGATGCATTAATTAATGGCTCCGTTAATTAATGTCATGTTGCTTGTCGCTTTCTCGGTGTGTGTGTCTGGTCCATGCCCGCTGCTGGTGCCAGGGTGGGTGTCCGTGCTGGACACGCAGCCTCGATGCCAGCCGTGTCTTGCGGGGGCGTGTGTGTAACTGTAGTGTAGTCAGGTGCTCAATGGGGAACATAAAAATAAAAAAGAATCAAACATATACAGAAAAATAAATATATATTTTAAGTTTAAAAAATGGAAAAACAGACAAAACAATTCCCATCAGGTAGTTGTCCAACCCCCAGCTGGGTCTGATCCTTCTCATTGTCCACCTGACCTGGCTGCCCCCTCACCTCGGGCTCGGGGGATCTGGGGGGGACTGGGGGGCCATCTCCTCTTCTCTGCCCTTTTTTTTGGTTGTTCTATTTTGTACAGACAAGTCAGAAAAACAACAGCGACAAAAAAGTCAAGAAACTTTGTAAAATATTGTGTGTGTGATTCCTTGTAAAATATTTTCAAATGGTTTATTACAGAAGATCAGTTATTAAATAATGTTCATATTTTCACTTCAAATGGTTCCCATCTGCTGTGTCTGCCCCGGGTGAGAATTCGTAGCTTGAAGAACCAAGTCGCCTTGACCTCAGAGCCCCACTGAGCACTCAGCTAGGAGCGAAGGCCATGCAATCCAGTCTCCGGGGGGGTGTAAAACCCCAGGCATCCTGGGTACCAGATACTTGAACCCTTTGCCTTGAATAATCCCAAAAGCATCTGAGAAAAGCTGTTTAAAAAAAACAAAACAAGCCCTGGCCGGTTTGGCTCAGTGGATGGAGCGTCGGCCTGCGGACTGAAGGGTCCCGGGTTCGATTCTGGTCGAGGGCATGTACCTTGGTTGCAGGTACATCCCCGGTGGGGGGTGTGCAGGAGGCAGCTGATCGATGTTTCTCTCTCATCCATGTTTCTGACTCTCTATCCCTCTCCCTTCCTCTCTGTAAAAAATCAATGGAATATATTTTAAAAAAAACAACAAGCTCAAGGAGATGAGATGTGGGTTTAGGGAGCATCCAGCCATCAGGTCAGACCGCCGGCCCAGTGGGCAGGTCCTCATCCGAAGTGAAGTGTGAGGACCCGGCCTGAGCCCACTACCCGGTGCTGGAGGGCCCAGTGCTGCTGCTCCGAGGAGGGTCTAGTCCACCAAGGCATGGCCGCGGCTCTTCCCAGCCCAGGGCAGCTCAAGGACTGGGGTCTCCATGGCCACTGCTGCTCACACTGGAACCCAACCCTCTAGTTCATTTTAATCCCAACTCTTAATAGTCCACCCTAGTCCGTGTGACCTTTGAGTTCTTTCGAGGGGAAAGACTTACAACCACCAGAGCAGAGGTTTCCTGGTGCTACTGACTGACAATACAGGCGCTCACCGGTGGCTTCTGGCCGACTCCTCACCACAACCTGAGAGTTGGGTACTAGTTTGTCCCCAGACTGCAGATGAGCAAACTGAGACTTAGGAGAGATTCTTTCCTCCCAGATGAGGAGGACAAGAAGTCAGCAGAAGTTTCAGAGAGGAGCTGATCTGTGTCTGGGGGTCCTTAGATGCTAAATAAATGGAGGAGGGCATTCCAAGCCTTAGCGAAGACACCTTTCCTCACTCCTCTGCAGGAGCTGGCCACCGAGCAACACCTACCTAGCGCCCTCTGAGACAGCCCCCATCCCGTGCCGTGCAACAGCCCAGAGGTCCTGGGGTAGGGCTGCCGGATAAAATATAGAACATTTTTTATATTTGGCTCAGTGGACAGAGCGTCGGCCTGCAGACCGAAGGGACCCGGGTTCAATTCTAGTCAAGGGCACATACCCAGGTTGCAGGCTTGATCGCCAGTAGGGGGTGTGCCGGAGGCAGCTGATCGATCGATCGATCGATCGATCGATGGTTCTCTTTCATCATCGATGTTTCTATCTCTCCTTCTCCCTTCCTCTCTGAAATCAATAAAAAATATATATTAAAAATATAGAGAGAACATTCAATCAAATTTGAATTTTAGATAAGTATTTTTAGTACATCAATATTGCATAGGACATAATTACACTATAAAAATGGAGACATGCTACCCTGGCTGGTTTGGCTCAGTCGATGGAGCATCGGCCTTCGAACTGACGGGTCCCAGGTTCAATTCCAGTTGGGGGCGCATGCCCGGGTTGTGGGCCTGATCCCCAATGGGGGGTGTGTAGGAGGCAGCTGATCAATCGATGGTTCTCTCTCATCACTGATGTTTCTATCTCTCTCTCCCTCTCCTTCCTCTCTGAAATCAATAAAAACATTTTTTTTTAAATGGAGACATGCTTATACTAAAAAAAAAATTATTCATTATATATTTGAGATTCAAATTTGATTGGGCACCTTGTATTTTGATTTGTTAAATCTGGCAGCCTTACCCTGGGGTGACATCGGGTGAGAACCCAGACCTCAGACAAAGATAAAGGTGTCAACACCCTTTGTAACCTGAAGGCTATGCACATGTTGGCAGTAGTACTGAGATCAGCGGCTGAAAGGAAGGGGTCCTGCACTTTATAAATGTACTTTGTCAAATAATTATTTAATTACATGCACATTTTTTAAAGAAATCTCATTTCATTTTTTTTTCTTGATTTCAGAGAGGAAGGGAGAGGAAGAGAGAGAGATAGAAACATCAATGATGAGAGGGAATCATTGATTGGCTGCCTCCTGCACGTTGGACTAAGCCCACAATCCAGGCATGTGCCCTTGACCAGAATTGAACCTGGGACCCTTCGGTCCAGAGGCTGATGCTCTATCCACTGAACCAAACTGGCGAGGGCTATATGCATATTTTTTAAAAGTAACTCAAGATACAAAAAAATCAGCCTGCACAGGACACAACCTGCCAGAAGCCACCGTTGCAATGAAGTGGGGACCCAGGGCCAGCCTTGTCCAAGTTTGTGGGGAGACTTCCCTTCCTCTGGGCCAGCAATCAGAAGGCTGTAGGGGGCAGGAAACCTGAGTTTGAGTCGTGGCTCCACCTTACTTGTAACGGGCAGCCTGGGCAGCGCACTCACTGTGCTCCCGGGTGAACTGGCATTTTACACTCCAGGCCCCTTGGACACTCAGGGTGTGTCCTGTCATCTCCGTTTACATCTCCATGAAACTGGGTTTCAACCAAGTCCAGGAACTGAGCCAGTGTACACAGCTGCCAAATGGCAGGGCAAGAATTCCAACCTGGGTCGGGCCCCATGCATCCCAAACAACCTGAGTCAGGCTTATTCCAGACCATGGGCGTCCCAGTTCCCGCACACCAGGGCCACCCAACATTCTCACCCACACACCTACCCACGAAGACACACCCATTCAGATGTACATGCCAAGGAGCCACGCTTCCCGGGGGACAGCAAGTGTGTGGCATGCAGTTGTGGTGCCGCTGATACCCGCCGCTTTCCCAGGGTTAGCGATGCTTCTTCACCCACTCCCGCCTCCCGAGGACTGGTGGAAAACGGTCCTGAAAACTACAATTCCCAAGCAACACCTCTTCTCACCACCGACTTGCCCGGCCCGCGCGCACAGCCTCCTGGGACTTGTAGTTCTACCCAGAACCCTGACTTCCGCTCGTCCCCAGCTTCGGCCGCGGACTCGGTGTCCCAGCATGGCGCGGACCCGGAAGACCTACGCGGAAAGGGCATCCCACCGCCTCCCGGGGCGCGCAGGCGCAGCACCCCTGTTTGTCGGCGCCTGAGAAGGGAGGAGGTACGGTCGAAGGCAAGATCCAGGCCGAGCCGGAGCTGACCTGACTTGACTCGGGCCCAGAACTAGGCTCCAGTCCCGCGCGGGCCGGACAGTAGGACCTCGGAGTGGATGGAGCAGGCCCAGCCCTGAGACCAACGGCAGCCACTGGGCCTGGCTCCGGGCCCACCGGGCGGGCAGGCAGGCGGGCCGAAGCCGCCCAGGGCTTCCCCTCGGGTCCCGGGCGAGGGGCCTAGGCCCCGCCCCGCAACCAGGCCCGGCCCGGCCCTTTGGAACCGGAGTCCACCCGACCAGAAGTGGAGTCCTCACCGGGGCGGGGCCATCGGCCAGTGACTAGGCCGGGCCCGGGCCTCCCGTCGGGGCCGGAGTGGGACGAGGCCCGGGGAGGCCCCTAGCCCACTAGACGCTCCCCTCCGGCCGACGCCCGCCGAGAAGATGCAGCGCGCCCTGCCCGGCGCCCGCCAGCACCTGGGGGCCGTCCTGGCCAGCGCCAGCGTGGTGGTGAAGGCCCTGTGCGCCGCGGTGCTGTTCCTCTACCTGCTGTCCTTCGCCGTGGACACGGGCTGCCTGGCGGTCACCCCGGGCTACCTCTTCCCGCCCAACTTCTGGATCTGGACCCTGGCCACCCACGGGCTGATGGAACAGCACGTGTGGGATGTGGCCATCAGCCTGGCCACGGTGGTGGTGGCTGGGCGCTTGCTCGAGCCCCTCTGGGGGGCCTTGGAGCTGCTCATCTTCTTCTCCGTGGTGAACGTGTCCGTGGGGCTGCTGGGGGCCTTCGCCTACCTCCTCACCTACATGGCTTCCTTCAACCTGGTGTACCTTTTCACCATCCGCATCCACGGCGCCCTGGGCTTCCTGGGCGGCGTCCTGGTGGCACTGAAGCAAACCATGGGGGACTGTGTGGTCCTGCGGGTGCCCCAGGTGCGCATCAGCGTGGTGCCCATGCTGCTGCTGGCGCTGCTGCTGCTCCTGCGGCTGGCCACGCTGCTCCAGAGCCCCGCGCTGGCCTCCTATGGCTTCGGGCTGCTCTCCAGCTGGGTGTACCTTCGCTTCTACCAGCGCCATAGCCGAGGCCGAGGGGACATGGCTGACCACTTTGCTTTCGCCACCTTCTTCCCGGAGATCCTGCAGCCCGTGGTGGGGCTGTTGGCGAACTTGGTGCACAGCCTCCTGGTGAAGGTGAAGATTTGCCAGAAGACAGTGAAGCGCTACGATGTGGGGGCCCCGTCCTCCATCACCATCAGCCTCCCGGGCACAGACCCTCAGGATGCGGAGCGGAGAAGGTACTGTGGGATCTTGTGAAACCTGGTTGAGCTGGGGGAGTACTTATCAAGTCACATCCCATCTGTCGGGGTGCCAGGGGTCAGGTGTCGGGCGGATTCAGAAAGAGGTCGAAGCCAGTTCACGGCCTTGAGGAACTCAGCACGTAGGTGTCTGGGCTCCGGTAGGCGCTTTGCAGTATTGCCCTTCTCCCCACCGAGGCTGCCTAAAGGTCTCCAGAAACACCCGGTCTCCTTGGTGCTGGGTGAGGGCCAATGGAGGGCCAGGTACGCATCACTCTGGCCTCGTCTCAGAATCTTGGAATCCGAGACACGGGTTCTGTGGAAGCCAGAAACGGCCTCTGGTTGGTCTGTGAGAGGGACACAGGAGACCTGGCGTCCTGCAGCGGCACTCTGGGCCACCCCAGTTTCCAGTTGCTGACCCATGGCCTGTTCCTGGGCCTTAATTCAGATCCTGCGCTTCTCTGCCACCTGTTGAGAGGGGAGCTGGAGGTGTCACTAGGCTCCCCCGCCTCCTGCAGGGGGGCCTGTTACCAAACCCAGGGCCTGGCCACGTGACCCGGGCCTGGCGCCTGCCTTTTCATCATCTGTAAACCAAGCCATCGGCAACGTCAGGCCCAGGCGGCTTACTCAGTGCACCTGGGCCAGCCCTTTCTCTCCCCGGTCTGCGGCCTCGCCACAGTGGTCACAGCTCCCGTTGCCAACATGATTCTTGGGTATTTTTGAGGCAGTTACTGGAGAAGTGAAGTCTGCGCAGGCTCTGTTCCCTCTTTCCGCATTTGTCAAAGGCTGCTCGGCAGCTCTGCATTCAGCTGAGGAGGTCGCCCCGTGCTGACCTCCGCTGGGCTGTGGGTTGAGGACGGGATACGTCCCTTTCTTGAAAGTTTCCAGCCGGGCAGTGCCACCGATGACTGTGGTCCACGGTGGCAGGTGCTGCCGGCAGAAGTGTGGGCCCTGCAGTCGTGTCTCTATGGCTGAGGAGCCCCAAAGACCGAGGTCTGTCTGAACCCTCCCCCGTGGAGGAGCTGGAGCCAGCAGGCTGGGCCGGTAGAAGCTGGGCTGTCCTCGGAGCTCTCAGGTGGGGCCAGGCCACCGGGCGGTCCCTCGGCCAGTGACAGGTCTTGCTGGGACTGTTAGGGTTGGCTGGACATTGAAAACACCTCTGCTCAGGCCCAAGAAAATGGACGGTGGAGGCAGGTTGGGGCAGGGGTATCAGGAGGCAGATTCTGGCACAGCCTGTGGTGGGCTGACGTGGGGGTGGGAGTTACTCCTCCAGCCACTCTGACATCTGGCTGCACGCTACTCCCAGATGCAAAGGCTACTCCTCGTGGCCGCAGGGTTTCCTGTCTCTCACCCTCGTGAGGAAGTGACTAGCGAGTCTCCACCTCGGTCCCTCGGCAGGCCTTGCACAGCACTGACAAGTCAGCCTCCAGAAGGGGAGCCGGGGAGCCGCGGGGGAGGACTGCCCTGTCTATGCCAGCTTGCCATGTGCCAGTCTGGAGGGCAGAGTGAAGTGTGCAGGCTTTTTGTGCCCGTGCCCTTGCTGCCTCTCTGTCACTCTCCCTGCCTGGTGGAGATTTTGCTGGAACTCGGAAGGCTACGCAGACTGTCCCCACGCTGGCGGCAGAGAGGCTGAGCATCAGGCCCTCGGTGGCCACTGTCGGAAGTGTTGCCTGGCAGCATCCCACCTCCTGTGGGCAGGGGACCAGTGCACGTATATACCTTCTAGTGACTTTCCTCCTGAGCGGGGGTCTCAGAACCTGCCAGTAGAACCAGTAGGCTCTGGCCTGTGCCCTGTGCCCTGCCCGCGTGGGCTGTTCCTCCTTCCTCTCGCCCTGCCAAGGACTCGGTGTGTTCCCACTGCCACAGGGCCTGGCGGCTTTGGGGGTTCTTCTGGGAGGAACATTGGAACCCCTTAGGAGGGTGGGCTGACCCGCGTTAGCCCGCTTTCCAGAGCAGGGGCTTGAGTCCCAGCCTTCCCCAGACCCTTCCAAGAGGCTCAAAGCACCCCTAAGAAGGAGTGGGGGGAGGCGTTCTTATCCCCTCCAGTGAGACCAGTGCCCAGGCAGAAACTGGTAGGTCAGGGACTTGCCCTTCTCTCTGTCTGCCTTGGGGGCCGGAGAGGGGGGCACCAGCTCTGCCACCCTTAGACACCACCTCGGAACCACGCCTGGGGCTGCCGGGCGGGCAGTGTGGCAGCCACCCCATTGGCCTTCTCGGGCTGGAGGTGCCTCCGCTGGGGGAGGAAGGCTCTCCAGCCTTTAGAGCCTCGTTCTGATGGTAGAGGGCCCGATCCAGTCCCCGGGGAGCGTGGGCCCTGCACGGGGAAGGGAGCACCTAAGATGCTTCTGAGAGGAGTCCGAGTGGTGCGGGGAGTCAGCTTCCTGGGCAAGAGCAGGGCACGAGCCAAGTCCAAACCCAGAGTGACCTGTCATCTTCCCTCTGACCCCAGGCAGCTGGCCCTGAAGGCCCTCAACGAACGGCTGAAGAGAGTGGAGGACCAGTCCGTCTGGCCGAGCATGGACGACGATGAAGAGGAGGCTGGGGCCAAGGCGGACAGCCCTCTGCCCTCAGACAAGGTCCCCACCCTCCCAGGGAAGGGGGCTGCCCCAGAATCCAGCCTGATCACCTTTGAGGCAGCTCCCCCGAAGCTGTAACTCCAGACCACCTTGAGTGTAGCACCTCCTCTCCCACACCCCGGCCCCTTCTCAGCTGCTCTGAGGAGAGGGAGGATGGTCTCCGGGGGTCTCCACAGCCTTCTGCTATTTCTCGCCAACACTACCCAGGACTCTTGCTACCTGGTTACAACTCCAGACAACCACTAAGTCAGGCATCCGCCAGCCGAGGCTGTCTGAGGTAAGACTGCACCTCGGCAGGTCGCCCCAAGCAAGTGGCAGTAGGGACACTGGTGCCGCAGCTTCCGGGCCAACCCTCACACCTGATACTGTGGCCGAGAGCCCTGAGCCAAGGCAAGGATTTGCCAAAAACGTCCTGGGGGGTCCAGCCAGCGTAGGAGCCAGCACAGGGCTGTGCCTCCCTGCCCACCCCCGGAAGGACTGTATTCACCTCGAGATTTCCGGTTCCCTCTGCTGTGGCCACGGCTGCTGCTAGGCCAGAGCGGCCACAGCTCCCAGGCGTTTTCTACGGGACCACTGAGCGGGCGGCTGGCCCAGCGCGCAGTGTCAATAAAGCAGTTCTTTGAGGTATGACTCCTGGGCTGTTGGACCACCTCGTGCAGCCCCTCCTCGTGCTCAGCTGCAAAGCCAGGGACTTTACTCCAGGTCCAAGGGCTCAGTCCCCATGGCAACTCCAGCTGGAGAAGAGGCCCATTGCCCCCCTCTCCCTTCCCCAACCACATGCCCACTGTCACCTCACACCCTTACTCATTTTCTTTCTCCCTCCTATCCCCATGCAGAGAGGCCCTGCCCAGGGGATCTGAGGACTGAGGGCTTCTCTATCCTCAGGAATTCTTATCCAGGGCTCACCTCCAGGACCAGTGCTCAGTGCTTGACACCTACGAGCCAGCCATCCCGCTCCCATCTTGTCATTGCCCAGCACAGTGGGCAGCTGGGGGGCTGAAAGGACACGGCCCGAGGGCTTTCTAGGGCCTTGGGTAACATGGGCCTCTGGGCAGCCAGATCCTGGGGCTTGTGCGCTGGGAAAGCGTCGGTTCCGCAGTGAGCAGCCAGGAGCAGGGTCCTGTGGCGCCCAGCGCCCCCTTTTTCAACCTGATGGTCTTAGTGAGAACTATCCCCAACTCTGAGCTATTCTCCCCATCCAGTCTTTCCCGTCTTTTTTAATTTTAATTTTTATTTTTTTGTCCTGTAATTTCTGGACATACCAATACAAGTATGAGCTGAGTTGCTGGGGAGGCAATCTTGCAACCCGTTTCATCCAGACCCACAATCCATGAGCTCCTCTGGGATGGTAGAGAGAGAGGGGAGGAGGAGCACTCCAGTGTGAGGAGCAAGCACAAATGCCACACACAGGACTCCGACGCTGAGTGCCCAGGGCCTGAGGTGTCCCTGTGACCTAGACAGTCGAGAGAGTCCACAATGTCCCAGCGCCAGCTCCTACATGAGGGGCAAGTCCAGGCTTCGAGGCTGCGAAGAGCTCACGGCTGAATCCTTTTGCGGTACAGGTAGGCATTGCTCACCTGGTTCATGATGACCAAGCTGGTGACGACAGGGCAGAGCACAGCCAGGTACCAGGCTCCACCAGTGACCGTGGCAGTGAACCAGAGTGAGCACATGCCCAGCAAGAGGCTGGCACTGCCCAGAAGGTAGCCCACTAGCCCAGAAGTGGCATGGTACAGCTTGAGCTTGGACAGGGGCCATCGGGGCAGCAGTTTGGGGTAGAGGAGCCCCACCCCACCTGAGCACTGCAGCCCTGCCCACAGCACAGCGAGCAGCCCTGCCCGCCCATGCCAGGTGGCCAGGTGGGCTTTGCCAAGCTGTTCCTTGTGGAGGATGACCAGGCCCAAGCCCAGCAGCGCACACAGCAGGGCCAGCAGCTGTAGCACCCAGTGGCAGCGGGCTCGGCCTTTCCGCGAGAGGGAGCGCAGCAGCGAGCTCTCAGGAGAGAACACCAGCAGGGCCTCCGTCATCAGGAAAGAGAACTGGGGAGACCGCATGGGAAACGAAGTGAGGGTGCTGCCCAGCAGAAGGGAAGAAAGATTTAGGTAACCTAAGCTGCCAGTCAGCCAGATTCCCCTCCATTCTCTCCCCGCCGACAAGAGTGTCCCTGGGTGGGCAGGAACAGAGAACTCCCTCTGGGACAGAACATCTGCCCGAGTAACCCGCGAGAGGTGCCCCCATAGTCCTCGGGTGCTGTTCTGAAATGACATCTCTTTCCCAGCAAACACAAGGTTTGAGACGTGGCACTTATAAATGATTCACAAGCTTTGTTTCCCTGACACAGGGCGGGATACAATTTCTTGGCAGAGCTGGCCAAGCAGGTGCAGTGTGTCAGGGAAAACGGGGTGTGTCACTGTAAGTTAAGGGAAAAAGGGGCAGAAGTAACCCAAGTGCATTTTCTAAGCTTCCTGCCTGGAGGTGGGTGCACCTCATTTTGTGCTCAGACAAGCCCTACCCATTTGCCCTGGGTCTTGAGTACTCTGGTTCCAGCCTGGGATCTGTGTGCCACGGGCAGACTCCAACATTCCACGTTATCCCCCCAGATGTAAGTGACCATAAGGAGGCCACTAGGGCCACCACCCCTCCCTGTGCTCCCTCCCACCCCTACGAGCTGGCCCGGCCCATTACTTACAGCCAGAGACATGAGCACGGGGTGCCAGGAGAACAGACCTGGAAGAGAAGAGGAGGCCTGTGAGGCGGGGGAAGAGCCCGGCCGCAACAGTAACTGCAGGCTGAGGCCCAAGGGAGCGCTGCCAAAATGCAAGCCCCCTCTGCACCAAGCTGACCCCATACCTAACTCTTCCTGGTCCCTCCGGATCAGAGGCCATGCTTTGCCACTCCTCTGGCAGTCCTCCCTCCTGCCCACTGCACTTTGCAAGAGACAGCCAAGTGGAGCACCAAGGCAAGGAAAGAGAGCCGGGTACTCGGGCCGGCCAAGCTGGCAGAGCCCCCACACTCATCTACTCCACCCACTTATCCCTCCAGCATTGCACGCACGGCCCTCTGCCACCCATGCCTCTCCCAGGAGTCAGGCCCGAGGTTTCCCATTGCCCCTGCTCCCCAGGACAAGTGGCCCTTTCCTCCCCAGAAGTTAATTATAAATTACACTTACTGGAGCCAGGCCTGGCAAGCACTGCCACAAAGATGGTAAAGCCCAGGGCCACAAGATGGGCAGCAGCCCCAGAGGCAGTGCGTAGAGCTCGGTAGATGTGCGACTCGGTCTCCACAGAAAGAGCCATGGTCAACCAGGCCGGCGGCTGTAGCCTGAAAGCATAGGAGCGTAAGCAAGGGTCGCGGATGCCGCGGTCCACTCCTCTCGCTGGAGCAAGTGTTGCAGGGCAGGGATGCCACCCTCCTCCAAGAACCGAAGGTAGAAAGACAGGCACCAGCAATAGTCAAGGACCGGCGGCCTGTCAGCATGTACCTGCATCTGAACTGGCACTGATCACTGGCCCACCTTCCAGGTAGGAAGCGCAAAGCCGTGTAACAGACTACAAATCCCAGAGTGCACCACGCCGTCACCGGGCGGGAGCGCCAGCTAATAGGGCAAGAAGCACTAAGGGAATTGTAGTTCCCAGCTGCGACCAAATTGCAGCCTGAATCCCTTCCCGCGCAGCTTCCTCATGTGCCGCAGGCATGCAGCCCCTCCACGCTAGGAATTCGCCTGCCTCACCCGCAGCGCCGATCGGACGCGGTGGTTTTCTCCTGAGAAAGCGGGATACTCTGGACCCTGCCGCGCGAGCCGCCACCCCGTAGCGGAGCCGCTTCACTTCCGGGTGTGATGACTACCCACCGGGACTTCCTGGACCAACCTCCTCCGTAGCCACGCCTCTGAGCTGCTCTGCGCATGCGCTGTTGAGCAGCCGTCTTCATGGGTGCGAGTGCGCAGGCGTGCTGGACCCAGCGGCCCAGGCCTTGGAGCTGGTGTTCCCGAGGACTCGGTCCCGTTAGCGCCATGAGCAGCGGCTGCCGCATCGAATGCATATTTTTCAGCGAGTTCCATCCCACGCTGGGACCCAAGATCACCTATCAGGTGCCATCGGGCTCGCGGGCTTGGTGGGGAAATAGGGGCGCTCTCCAGAGCTCAGTCCGCTGTCTGGAGGCGGCGGATGCCCGTCCCCGCGCTGCACGCAGGCCCGCTCCTCCTTCATTCGCCGAGAATCGTGAACCGAGAGGGTGCTCAGACCCAGGTCCCAGCCTCCCGGCGAGAGGGCGCAGACAAACCACATAGGCAGTGATGGTGGGAAGTAGGCGGGGACCCAGCAGAGATGCCAGGTCCCACGGGAGGTGGAGGTGGGTGGTTCATTAGTTTCCCTGGCTGCATAGGGATGTAGGTGAGCGAGGAGCGTGGGCCAGACAGAGGGAACAGCATGTGCAAAAGCCAGGAGGCAAGTGAGAACATAGCGTGTGCTTGTAAACAAGGGAGTAGCAGGCCTGGGTGGATGGGAGAGGCAGTGCGTTGCGCTCGGCAGATGTGCGACTCCGGTCTCCACAGAAAGAGCCCTGGCCAACCAGCTGAAGAGGGCTTAGGTCTTGGGGGATTTCCCGTTTACTCGGCCTCGTACCGAGGTCCACTGTTGAGTCCTTTGCCACTTCCCTTCCCAGGTTCCTGAGGACTTCATCTCCCGGGAGCTGTTTGACACGGTCCAGGTGTACATCATCACCAAGCCAGAGCTGCAGAACAAGCTCATCACTGTGTGAGGCCCTAGCTGGGGGTCCTGGGAGGAGCGGGCAGGCTTGGGAGGGGGAGGAGCCTGACTCTGGCCCACCTCCCCCCTGTCTAGCACAGCCATGGAGAAGAAGCTGATTGGCTGCCCTGTGTGCATCGAGCACAAGAAATACAGCCGCAATGCCCTGCTCTTCAACCTGGGCTTTGTGTGTGACGCCCAGGCCAAGACCTGTGCCCTTGAGCCCATCGTCAAAAAGCTGGCTGGCTACCTGACCACGCTGGAGGTCTGCAACACCCTGGGCTTGGGTGGACGGGCAGGCAGAGTTGGGGAAGGTATTCACATGACTCCAAAGCCCTCCAGACCTAGGACCCTGCCAGGGCAGGATGCCTGGGGGGTGCCCACCATGCTGTCCGTGCTCCATCCAGCTGGAGAGCAGCTTCGTGTCATCGGAGGAGAGCAAGCAGAAGTTGGTGCCCATCATGACCATTTTGCTGGAGGAGCTCAATGCCTCAGGCCGGTGTACTCTGCCCATCGGTATGGCCCAGCCTCTGCAAGGACAGTGGAGGGGGGAGGAGGGATGGGAAAGGGACAGGGGAAGGTGAGCCCAGCCAAGGACAAGACTCATGAACAAATTCGTGGCCAGGCAATAGCCATGAGCTGAGTTGATGATGTGCAGGGTCCCGTGCATGACTGGGCTGGGGCTGGGGCTGGGGCGGCCAGCAGAGCTCCAGCTGTCCGATGGGCATGCTCCTTCCCCTCTCTGGACCTCCGTCTCTCGCTTTATAAAAGGGGAAGATTGGCCCCACCCAGAGCCACCTGCCTGCCTCAGGGTTGCTGGAGGGTGATGGAGGGCCTCTTGGAAGAGGGGGCGCTGAGAATATGGGTGGGACCCCTGCAGATGAGTCCAACACCATCCACTTGAAGGTGATTGAGCAGCGGCCGGACCCCCCTGTGGTTCAGGAGTATGATGTGCCCGTCTTCACCAAGGACAAGGAGGATTTCTTCAGCTCCCAGTGGGACCTCACCACACAGCAGGTGTGCCAGCCCTCCCTGAGGGTCACCAGCCGAGGCTGGCCTCCTCCTTGGCCTCACTCCACCCCTACTGCCTGCCTGCCCTGCCCAGATCCTGCCCTACATTGATGGCTTCCGCCACGTGCAGAAGATCTCGGCCGAGGCAGATGTGGAGCTCAACCTGGTGCGCATCGCCATCCAGAACCTGCTGTGAGTGGGGCAGTCACACCAGGAGAGTGCTGTCCGCGGGGCCTGGGGCTGGGGCTGGGCGTGACCCCCCGAAGCTGAGCTCAGCTCTTCTCCCAGGTACTACGGCGTGGTGACCCTGGCGTCCATCCTCCAGGTAGGGGAGTCTGGGTCTGGTTATGCGGGGCGTGGATCATTGGCTGGGCCACACTGGGGCCGTCAGACTTCCAAGCCCCTCGCTCAGGCTCCTGTGCCTCCTGCCACCCCCCCTCCAGTACTCCAACGTGTACTGCCCCACGCCCAAGGTCCAGGACCTGGTGGATGACAAGTCCCTGCAAGAGGAGTGTCTATCCTACGTGACCAAACAAGGTAATGGTGGGCTCTGGGGAGGCCACCTCGGGGAGGGCAGGGCAGGGCCACCTGGAGAGCTG